ATGTTTAATTATATTGCCTAAACATTTGGTTAAAATTATTTCACTCAACATTTGATAGCTATTACCGTCACACTTTTTCCAGTGTAGTGTCGACAAAAATCTAAGTTCATTATCGTGTTATGTTTTCCTATAGGATATTTAAATATATCTTGTAGAAAAAAATGTCATATACTTAACATATTTCTATACATACCATATAATACATTATTTTTTATTACCTTCTGGTAAAAAAACATAAAGTTATAAATTACCTTTTCCCACTCCTTTTAACACAACATCAATATATCAATTATTTGAATAATAGTAACATAACTCTGTGTTGATTAGAATTCCCCATTCAACAATATAACTGTTGCAATAATGCATTACAACATGTGTTGTATTACAGTTATTTTGTTGAATGAAAAATTATATATGTTACTGTGCTAGTTAGTTGAAGCAATATTTGCTGATGGGGATATAAATAAAAATCGTTTGACATAATAAATTATTACTCGCTTAATGCGACGAGATTAGGTGTATAATGTTTCGTGAAAACTTATAATTGTTATTTATTTTTCTGGACTAATTGTCTCGTTTTTCAAAATGCGACAAGGCGCGGCTTGTTAAATTGACAAATCAGGTCGCGCCGGCCTTTACAGTCATGATAAATCATGGTCGCGGTACAAGCAATTTTTACCGTGACGTTCCACTACTTTCTCTCGAAACTCGAAAAAGTATCAGCACCGCGACGTGAACACGACGCGGTCGCTGGCAGCTCATTAAGTCGCGTAATGAGGTCGTCCCTACAGTTAATTATCCCAGAGACGGTTTTCGATGGTCGTGCTGCCGTTCCCCTTCCCCCCCCTCTCGCTCTCTCTCTCTCTCTCTTTTTTTCTTTCCTGTTGCGATCGCGTCTTGTCCCACCCACTGGGGACTGAGAGCGTAAAATGATTCCACGAACCATTCCGGCCCGATTGACGACACCCTAAATCACCCTCGCGGGAGAGTCCTCATTTTCCTCGTTTCCGGTATCAAACGGACGTGTCAAAGCTATGGCCGAACTGGAAGTTGTCAGATTATTGACAGCGATGTGAATGTTGTAAATACTTGGAGACGCACGCACTTTGATTCGATGAAAATCATCTGATTCATGATGCAATAACTGTAAATTCCTCCCACCAGCAATGTTACAGCCAATGTTAATTAGCCAAATATTGAGTGAAATAATTTCAATTAAACCTTTTAGTTAATATAATAAAAAATAATTTTATTTTTCAAAATATTTAGTAATTATTACCAAATGGTTATTTGGGTAATACTATTTCTAAGTATTTAAAAAAGTAAAATTATTTTTGGTTATATTAACCGGACATTTTTTATTAAAATTATTTTACTCAACATTTGGTAGCTATCACCACACTCATTTTTCAGTGTAAACTTTAAAAATATACGGGTTATAAAATATTGTCAAAAATAAAAAAATTTCACAGATTGTGTGTTCTACCATTTTATTACACATCTGAATATCTATAAAATTTGAGCACAATTCTCTTATTGGCTTATAAAAGTTACTTTTTTTGGTCTTGATTTTTATGCAGTCTGAAGCAATGTAAAAATCCGCACTGGAATTCGAAAACTCAGGATGGACGAAAGATGAAAATTTCAGATCGCTGACAGAGAATCAATTTTACGAAACGACAAAAATGTCAAGGAGTTCTGTACGAGCGCAGAGTGCTAGTAATAAAGCATATATATATATATGTTTTATACTGAAAACCGCTTCGAAGAGTGTACTCTATTTTGAGATACATAAATTTACAGGGAAAAAGCGATAACCATCGCATCTGTCTTCCTTAATTCAATAACTTCGGCTGTCCATTTTCTTGACTCTGGAAACGCCAAAAGCGATCTCAATAAACGCGTATCACAGATATATGTACATATACGTGCTCGACATCCTGCCGCGGACATGTGCATCTTATTTACGCAGGATTCGAAGCGAAACTGAGAGTGTCCTGGCGCCTCTGTCAATGATTTACACGTCAAGGGGGCGGACGCGATGCCGACGCGGAAGGGTGCTCCAGCTGAGGGTGGAGATTACAGATGCGGCTTCTCGACGGTGAAGCGGCTGGCCGACTTCCTTGTTATTATGCGGTCGAATAAATTGCTGTTTGCTTCTTTTGCGGGATGTTTTCCCGGATTAAAGCGGATCATACGGACGCGACGACGGGATACAAAATAACATCACGTCCACGACATGTGCCGGCCGGTTCGCCGCTGGCGTAAGAAAGATGAATCGGCTGCCAGATAAAAGCGAAGCTGAGTGTCGACATTAAAACGGAAATATTAAGATAATAAAAATTAATTAATTAATGACATATAAATATGTGATTGTCTAAAAATTATATTTAACAAAATATTTAAATAATATAAGTAATAATTAAATATTTAATAAGATATTTAAAAATTATATGATAATAAGAAGGCATAATTTTTATAAAACTTAAATTTATTTTAAACTCTACTAACATTTGCAAGTCTCATCAAGCTCATTTTAGCATTAGCAATCGAAGATTTATAACATCTCTTAAATGAAAAAAAAATTTATTAAAAATAAAATGATTTATTTAATCCAAAAAAAAATTTTCTGTTAATTTAATTTAAAAAAAATAGTTTGAACAGAGTTGTAATTATTCACTAAATATAAACATATATTTATTTGATACAAAACCCATTAATTTAACTATTATTTTTTTGAGTAAATATTTATTTACTAAGTAAATTATAAATATGTTTACTTATTATTGTTCAAAGAAATACATATTAAGATTTAGTAATTTTTTTTCAATGTAAAAAAATATCCATGAAAAATTATTTGAAATATTATTATGCTGCGTCGCACTCAATTCAAAACAATTATTCCATATTTTTAAGATATTAGAACTATGAAGTTTTTCACTAATACAGTTTGAAACGAAATGTAGATAAATCGCGGGGGAAGTTTAAACGGAAACTAAAACGAAAAGTTAACGTATACAGTCAGGGGAGCGACTCTGAAAGAGTTAATAAACAGTCACTAACGCGGAGAGGAGCGCCGTGAAAGCCCCGGATTTATCCGCGGTCCATGTAAGGGGGCATAAACACGACATTCGACAAGATCGCGCGGGCTCGGTTCACAGGACGCATCCTTCCTCCCGAGCGCACCCGGACAACGAGGCATTCAGCGCTGGAATTCTAACAGTTTACCGGAACGGTAAACCGCGAGAGAATGTTCGCTGTCTCCCCATTCGTATTCCGACGATAAGTCGTAGATGAGCTTCCTCTCGTTTGCGAAATTTCTTTGTAACAGGAGTCTCTTTGAGCGGTGAGCTGCAACGACCGTTGCGTTTCGCCAATTTGCTTTCGGATTCGTATGTCTTCGTCAATTATTAATAGACTCGTTTGTTAGTTCCAAAAGAATCACACTTACTGAAACTGATACCGCTCGTCTAAAATTTCAATGCCGTCTGACTTCATTCTTGTGCAAATCTCTGTAATACAGTATATTGTGTACACAATTTTTAAATTCGATATATAATTGGACTTTTTCAGCAAAAGATTGAATAGGAATGTTGGAAAATAATTAGATACGATATGACAATCTTAAAACACACGATATATCTCAGATAAGTAAACTATATTCCACACGCTTACAATAATAATAACATAGTATTTACATTTCGCCGTAATTACTTAATAATTACGATACGTTTATACGATGGTAGAATAGAATATATATATATATATATATACATATATTTTTATATATGTACATATATAAGTATAATTGCGAAATGTGGTTTTATCTTTTGAAAAATACTCAATAAAATCGAAAATTTATGGCCCGAAGAAATTAACTAATAAAGATACAATAGTTGAAGTAGTAAGTTTTCCGATAAAAACATACATTCCAATATATCATATATATTAAATAAATATATTAAATAACTATCCTACCATTTAACAAAAAAATTGTTGGTAGAGATTATCGATATAGTATAAAAAAAAGAGAAAGAATTATAACGTTTTTCGTTGGCAGAACTAGTGCGCACTTCGAAGTTGTACATAAATCGGTATAAAGATGTATGTTTAATAAAAATATAAAAATGAGTTAAATCGCGAAATCCTCAATATATTTTATCACGTCATTTGATACAATATACATTGAGTATTTTATCAATTGAGATATTCTATTTTTACATTCAGTGTACAACAGGTTTAATGTACATCGAGTGTGCAGTTTTGCCAATGAAAAACGCTATTATATATCTAATCTACTTTTAATATATTCGAATTATAGTACAGTGAAATTTTTTTTAGAAATTATGCAATATTATTTTTGATACTACATAATAAAAGTCATGGAAGAGCGGGAATTTACTTGAATTATAAAAGTTTTTTTTCATGTCAATTAAGGAAGAAATGCTATTGCAAATGGAAGAAATTTATGAAAAAATAATACTACGAGCCATTTTGATGCTTAAACGAGAAATATATAAATCGTAAATTTTAAGAGGAAGAGATAATCACCGATGACGTAATGGATATAGTTACATTCGCTTTTTTACATTAATGGCGTAGAGATACCTATTATATCTCTGGTTGCGTTCAGGAAGCGTGCTATCAGAGTAAATGCATCATTCTATCTTTGTTTTATGTCAAAGATAAAACAATACAATATAATGCTAATAGCGGGCTTTCGAACATAATAACGTTTCCGACCTTATCACATATTTACAAAGTATAAACTCATTCTATAAACAAGATAAGTTAGACTACAAAGCATAATCTAATTTACCGAAATTGCATTTTAATTTTGAATTCAGTTTTATTGGCACATTGCAAAGTGCAATCAATTTGTGCATTTCTATTAGAGAGATTCCCTATAAATGAGACTAAATGTGTTGTAATATACACACACACACACACACACTTCTTTGGATGCATTTGAATACAATCAATCGTAAAAGTGTAGAAAATTCAATAAAAGGAAGGATATCAGCACCGCAAAGAAGAAACTTGATTCCTCGTATTTATGTTTACAAGTCAGAAGACAGCAAGTCCGATAAGAAAAATGGCAGGGAAGCCACTGCGATTATACATTTCGTCTTGCGTACGTTTTATGCGAATTGAAGGATTATCCGTTAATGGCTAGAGCGCATAGAATTTGCAAGTATAATACAGCTTGTATCTTACAATCAATCCTTGATATAAAAATCTATGAAGCTATCCACAGTTTTACTGGCGAAGGTTCCAAGCCGCGTGGAACCGAATGAAATCTTGGTTTGCACGAATTTGAAAGACTGATCGATAGGTAGGTATAACCTATATCTTCTTTCATGTAATCCTCTTTCTAGGATATATGTAGGTGATCGTCACAGCTCTCTTTTCTTTTGTCTCGTGTAGCTTAAAATATACAGTATTCTGATTTGGACTTATTCCATGGCTATGCTTTTCAGTACATAATTCACCGTGTACGCGAACGCCGCGAAGCCAATGATGACAACGAGATTTGCTAATGCGCTGTGCAGTGGACTCTGATCTCTCTGGAATTGGTCTCGTATCAACGAAGAGACTTCGGCCGCAGCAGACTGATGCCTCGCTTGTTTCTCAAGTTCTTTTCGACGTTCCAGTTCCGCTCTGATCGTCTGCAATAATATCGAATCTTATTGAACCGTGAGAATTTAAATTAATAGGTACCGATGAGAACATACCGTAATGGTCAAGTTGGATCTTAGATGCTTCTAATATATAATTTCGTGTGAATTTATATACTACGTATGTATATATACACGAAAATTATATATTAGAAGCATCAACGGTCCAACTTGACCGTTACGGCATGTTATCATCAATATTACGTTAAATTAAGAGTTTTCTAAATTCAGTTATAATATGCTATTATTAATATAACAGCTTCACTACCTCGACAGTTTCTGGAAAGAGTTCGCAGAACATCTTGTCCCTCAAATTATATTCTAAGCTTTGTGCAGCCAGTTGCCTCTTCTCATAATCTGTTGTATTAATACTGCCAAGCGTGGGACTCTTCTCAATCTGTAAACACAAGACTATAATTAAACATTTTTTCAAAACTATGTTATCAAATTTCAGAGAATGTACCATAAAACTGAGTAAGCCAGTAAGAATAGTAGATACGCTCCACGCTGGATTCCATGTATCTGGATGAAAGTCGGAAATGGACAAACACAGTCTCGTATTGACTTTAAATCGGCCATTAGGAGTGGTCATGTAAATGCTAGGAGGTTGGAATGGAAATTCTCCTGGAAATATGAGTTTTCCATGATAAAATCCACCCTCGTATGGCGTTTTTTCCGGTCCTTTGACCACGTAATGCCTAAAACAAGCAGGATGTATATTAAATCATTCGTGAGCAGCTGATTGATGATTATTTAGTAAACACTAATTAACAATAACATAACATTCAGTGGCTACATTCAGTAAGAAAAAAAACAGCTTTGCAATAATTATATAATTCATTAATACAATTGGTCTTAAGTTCCTCCTTCCTGGATCCAAATGAATCATATTAAAGAATATTACAATTGCAAAGCTTTTTCTGCAAAATGCAGTCAATATTATGATTTCACATTCAATAATATCAACTGTTATGTACAACACGTGTTATAACAAATTCAGTTACTTGTATTATACTAGATTAGTGGCGATACATGAAATTAACAAAGTTAAATGTAGAAACGTATAAACATTTCAAATGAATAAATATTCAATAATTATATTGTCATGTTAGTTAACACACAATATACATATATTATTTCATTGTCAATGTTGATTATATTATATCAATGCATGTAGGTACTCTATATGTATTGAAATAATATATTGGATTCGTACACATTAAAGGTTACTTTATGTGTATATACATAGTGCAAGTGACCAAATTTACTATTACTTTTATATTGTTGAGTATGAAGTTATATACTGGATAGTCTCCATTTGATAACACAAATCGACAAAAATATCATTCTATCTTTGTTATTCACTGTCAAGATAGAATGTTCGTATCAACTTGTGTTACTAAATGGAAAACACTTATAGATGTTAGTTGGTGTTTACTTGATAGTTTGGTTAATTAGGATAGACTTACCATTCCAAGATATTCGAAGGTACTGGCTCCGCAAGAACATATGGCACTGGATCTCTTTTGAGGCGTAGATAGTCCTGTCTCAATCTGGCCGTCGCACTGTTGGTCTTTCTGTTCATTCTTACCATGTAGCCCAGTGTTACTTGCAACGGATACTGTTAAAGATATTTTCTCCGCTCAGTGTGAACCAGATTCCGCGCTTTGATGACTCAGTTCGTTGTTTCAAGCGATGCTTACAGGTCGAAGTCTTGCTCCAGCTACTCCAGTCCTCGTTCTCTCAGCGTCGTCAAATTGCACGATCCTCGAGTCGCATTGCGGGCGCGTCCACGACGTCCACGTGGAATTGATCGCCGCGATGTTCTTTTGAGTCCGCTTCAGTCCGCTTGCGTGGCCGAGACAGACGGTGTGACAGCACGAGGTAGGATTATGTCGCGCGGACTGATAAATGTGCAAATCTGGCGATAAACACGAAAACTTAAGATTCTTAAGAAACGCTCAGCTGTTCGTTAAAAGTCGACGGGCGTTGGACTGGGTGAGAATGAGATAAGCCCGATAAGCGCTTGAGTGACGTATCACCTCGGTGAAATGAAAGCGCGCACGACCGCCGGTCGAAACGGAACTTGACAGCGCGGTGAGCTGTCGCGCGACGACGGGAAACATCTGACTGCGAGATCCGCTGAATTAATTCATCTCTACGTGCTGCAGGGTTACCACGCTATGTCCAGAAAGCGTAACTTTCGAGTGCGGCTCGCATGATGGAATGCATTTGGCGCGTCTTTTTCGAAGGCACTCCCTCACAGCGCGAACGCAAACGCTGAAAATACACAGCAAACACAGATGTCGATAGAGAAATGAGATTTGAAATAAAAATTTAATATATTAGCGTAATAATAGAGATATATATAAAGACTGTATTTCGATATTCACTGCCAGTACTTAAAATCTATAATGCACGTAACTATATATTTCAGTCTGGTAGCCAAAATAGGTATATACGTTCATAATCTGGATAATAAATATATTATATATTACATATTAAATTATACAATATATTATATATTATGAACTATTAATTAAAAAATTATCATATGCTAACATATCATATTGCTTGATAAGTTAATTATAAATAATCTCTATTAAGCTCATTTTTCAAGAATTTAATGCAAAATTTAAAATTGAATTATTCAAGGTTAGAATTATTTAAGGCATAATTTCTCCAACTATAAGATTTGTCTCTTAATCTTTCTTCCATATATTAAGAAAAGCTTATATTTGCAATTAATTTTTACATTTCCAACATTACACATTTTAACATTATAATATTACAAATATTGCTTCACCGATCATGGCTCCTATCCTATAATTCTTAATGCCAGAATCAGTACATTATCGTTATGCATGTTTTTTATGCGATAAAAATTTTGCGCAATAATGATACAATTTATTGTTAAAAAATACCGAATAAAATTAATCGGATTTTGGCTGCTTTAAAGTTACTCGTAAATTCCTGACAGATTCGCGTCACTAATCTGGTACAGTGAATGGGGCTTAAGACTCGTGACAGTCGCCGCCTCCCACCGTCTTTGTCCACCAACGGGAGAGTGGATGAGTGGATCACGACGCTGCGCGATTGTTGACATTTTGTCTTAGATGCCAATGTAAATCCGATTGACCCTGTCTCTCCACCCGGGAGCTTGTGACGATTGCTTCGATTTGTTAGATTGGTAGTCATCTTCTGATCCATTCCGTGTGACCATGAGTTCACCACTATCTATGAGCAACGCTGGACCACCGACTACTGCCACTGGTATGGAGACAGTTGTGGCGGTCGCCCTGGGTGCACTCGCCGCTGTCTTCCTCGGTGCCCTTCTAGTACTCCTGGTTATCTGTCGCAGACAACGCTGCTATTACGTGAGTCCAGTGACAGAAAAGACAAAGATGCTAGTTAGCAGGGAATATGATGATCTTAATCGTTTCCAGAATCAAAAGGATTCCGCGGAGCTGAGCTCTGATCTACTCGAGGGAGAGAACATCACTGGCTTGGGATTAGATGTGTGGGAGAGCGAAGAGTGGTTGGCGGGTGCTGAAAGGTAAAAGAATCATAAACAATGAACAATTAATAAAAATAGTAGATAATATTGTATGTGATATGACTTTTATCTCTAATTCAATTTGTAAATAGAAGATATCTATAAGTATTTTTTCATTATTCGTTATTTGCTTTTCTGCTACAGGTAATCTCATTATTTCATTATCTACTATTTCCATTAGTTCTTCAACGAAGAAATAATAAATAATGTTGCATGTAATATGTTACTTTTATCTTTGATTCAGTTTGCAAATATCCTATATCTACATATCCGTTATGAAAAGCATCAATTGTCTTCCTGTCATTAACTTTGTGAGTTTAAATGTCATGCTCTTTAGAAAGATAATTTTGCATTCTAGGTGGGTTGACGATGCCACTGGTTTAGCTCCACCTTGTATAGCAGTGCTCCGATCTTGTCATTCTTTAGCAGCTAGTCTTACCACTATCGCTGGAACTGTCAACAGTAATACTGTCCCGCTAGAGATAGTGGATGTAAGTACGATTACTGTACATTATTATTGTGTTATTCTTCTTATCAAATCTTGCTTTTGTTTGTAGGTTGCCCGACGTATACCACCTCGTGTAGATGACGTTGTTCGCAGTTTGTATCCTCCTTTAGACGCTAGATTATTGGAAGCTAGGGTAGCAGCTCTAGTGTTGGCTGTAACCCATTTGGCATTGGTAACCAAGCACGGCGTGCCTAAGAACCAAGCCAGAAAACTGGCATTCATTGATCAAGCCCTAAACGACATGGACACTCATCTGTTGGTGCTGAGAAATGCAGCGTTGGCTCAGGAAGTAGCCTGCTCTATCCCAGCCTCTACGCCAGTTTAAATATATGTCGATTGATTTCGCGATGAAATCAAATCTTTGTCGCTACAGTATTTTTAATAATCGGATTATTATTAGTTTTTCGAGATCTTTTTATCATACGATTGCAACGAAAGTTGTACATGATATGGCCGCTAGATTTGTAAATATAGCGTACACGTTCAGTAAATTCAAGCCATGCACCAGATGGCAATTACGCGAAAATGGATTATCGCTGATCTCAAGGCACAAAATGAACAAAGTTCAAGATTACTGATGGGGGAAAAACTCGTCAATATTTTATGTCAATTATCGTTGCTATAAAAAGATGCATATAAATATATATTAGGTATATATACACACGTCGAAAGTATTGTGAAGGATATATTTTAATAATCGTTTTTAAACGCGGTGAAAATTCGCCAAGACATCTTTCGATATTTTATAATATACAGATATACGAAAATGACGTCTTCCATGTTATATTATCATAGTTATTTATATACGTACATGATAAAAATGTATTTTGGGACTATATAATCGATCGTACCTGCATATGTTTGTACACGTTACAATACTTTATATTCTTGAAGATAATCAAATTGTTTTAGATTAGTAGGAATTTATAATGAAGTTGATCGTCAAAGAAAAATCACTGGATTCTTTCGTCCTGTCTTTTTCTATATACTCATGTTAAATATAGAGCTTGTCGATAATTTATTTAAATTCAATCTGTTTTTTTTTTTTTGTAATATGCACGAATTCTCAAATTTCTAGATTTCTACTGTAGTAATGCGCCACAACAACCTGCGAGTTGTCAAGTATTAATTTCGGTCTTCTAATACTTTAATAAATTAACTAAGTGATGTAATCAATCACTGATGCGCTACACAATATAGCATATACAGTGTCGATTAACATATTACAATTTTCAGAAAAAAAATCCTATAAATATGGAGGTATAGTGCACTGGAAAAAGAAGCGGATCAAAATCACAGCGCTGCCTCTATTATTTTCCTCGATTCGCCAAGTCCTTCTGTCTCTTTTGGTTGTCGGACAGGACCTTGTCTTTAAGATGCTCCTTATAATCCAAAATATTGCCACTCCATTTTGTAACTGCTTCATTCTCGCACACCCAGATTTCTTCAGCGACCTAAACATCAAATATATAGAATACGTTTACAAAACTTATAATTTTCTTGAATTAAAGTAAAGCCATACAAAAATGCATATACCTGATTAATCAATCTAAAGTCGTGCGATACAAGAACCATGCCACCGTCAAAGTCGTTGATGGCATCAGCAAGCGCATCGATCGTTTCCATGTCCAAGTGATTGGTAGGCTCATCGAGCAACAACAGATGAGGCACTTGCCAAGCCAACCAGGCAAACACAACCCGACAACGTTGACCATCGGACAATTGACGAATAGGACAAACCTAAGTACAAGCGCATTCGATTATGCATTGTTCTTAAATATCATTATTTCATAAATTACATACTTGTTGACGTCCAGTTAGACCATAGCGGCCAATAATCTTTCTCATTTCTTCACGCTCTTTCACCTCGGGGAAAGCCTTCATCATATAATCGAGAGGCGATATATCTAAATCCAGTAACTCATGCAAATGTTGGTGATATCTACTGATTCGGAGATGACTGTTTTTGCGAATCATTCCGCTTGTCGGTACTAACTGTAACGAGAGATCATCTTGTTAAAAAAATAATATCGAGTTTTTGTTCACTAATAAGAATATACATTCTCTACGTACATCACCATACAACAGTTTCAACAGGGTACTCTTTCCTGCTCCGTTTGGCCCAACCAATGCGATTCTGGTATCCAAATCAATTCCAAACTCTAGATTCTTGTAAATCCAAGGAGCATCCTCGTTATAACGAAAACTGACATTTTGAACCATAATAACCGGTGGTGGAATCGTTCCGCACGAAGGAAAATAGAAGTTTAGCACTTTATCATTAACAACTTTTTCGGTCAGACCTTGCGCCACCATTTTCGCTAAAGTTTTTTCTTTCGATTGTGCTTGTCTAGCTAATTTTGCCGAACCGTGACCAAATCGGGCGATGTAGTTTTTCATATGTGCAATCTGATCCTGTTCCCAATTATATTGCTTCGCTTGATTTTCAAGTAATTCCATTCTAAGAACAAAGACAAAAAACATAAAGTAATAATATAAGAAATAATTTATAAAAGCAATATCTTTCACAACTCACCTTGTTTTCACGAACGCCTCGTAATTACCGGTGTAATATTTCAACTGCTTTTTATTGACATGGATGATATTGGTACAAATGCCATTGAGGAAATCTTGAGAGTGTGAGATTATAACGAGAATCCGTTTATAGGTTTTGAGTTCTTCTTCTAACCATACGCAAGCATCGAGATCAAGATGATTGGTCGGTTCGTCGAGTAACAACAAATGTGGTTTCACATACAGCGCTCTATAAAAGAAATGCAAAAAATGTTTAATACAAATAGAACTTTTAATAGAATTTTTCTAAACATTTTATGTATATTTAAAAGTTTTGCATACCTAGCAAGAGCTATACGCATCCGCCAACCTCCTGAGAAGTCTTTGGTAGGAGTTTTTTGCATTTTTGCAGTAAAACCCAAACCATGCAAAATATGGGCAGCACGAGCTTCTGCTGTGTCAGCTGCCATGTCTTCTAATCTCTCATATATATCCATGAGTTGTTCCTGCGTAAAGTAAATTTGTAAGTAAAAATCGTGATTCTTTTTCATGATAATTTTTGTGATAAATATCAGTTTATAAACAAACCTGAGCATCCTCCTCGTTGCAGTCCACTAATTCTTCGGCAAGCTTCTCTAATCTCACACGTTCCTCGTCAACCTCCATCACACATTCCACAGCTGTCTTATTGCTTGCAGGCATTTCTCTAGTCAAATGAAAAATATCTATTTGCTCCGGGATAGGAACTTCGCGGTTTCCTAACACCGCTAACAATGTAGACTTTCCGGAGCCATTTAGACCTAATAATCCGTAACGTCTACCGCAATTTAATTCCAACATAGTATCTTGCAGTAGTTCACAGCCATGGAAAGTAATAGAAAAGTTAGATATCTTTATATCTCGACTGCGTGGATGTGAAGCCAGCGAACCCGTGCACGAACGTGCATCAGCGTTTAATCTGGCATCTTCCTCCAATTTTATACATAATGCCTCTGCAAATATATTTATTACATATATGTTAATAAATATTCAATGAAACAAGAATATTCATAAGCATAAGGTGATCACAGCAAGTGTTTCAAAAGTAAGATACATATTTATAGAGCACATATATATAGTAATAAATAAATTATTGTAAACTAATTTTTAAAACACATGAAAAGTTATAGAATATATTTTAAAATAAATTATTTTAAAATATTATAAATTCTATAACTTTTTGAGATCTCTCTTGTATAAACAATTAATATTACTTCATTCTCTCTCTCTCTCTCTCTCTCTCTCTCTCTCTCTCTCTCTCTCTCTCTTATTCAGTAGTTTCTAAATTAATTCATTTTGTCATAAAATATGTATACAATATCTTGAAAAACTTTTAAAAAACAATAAATTAATAATATAATTGAATTATAGACTCTTATATGTTTCAAAAACAATACAAAACACACAGAGAATTCTGTAATATTTTGAAAATCTATTAATAGAACAATATTGAAATGTCAAGTTAAAGGTTCTTCAACATATTTTTCAGAAATAGATCTAGGAGTTAAATATCGAGTCTCTGTCTAAACGTTAGTTGTCATTGAAAAATAATTAAAAAGCAACTTGGATGTAAGTATTCGGACGTTGCAAGGTGGGTATAGGCGGGAAACAATGACAAGCTTCTTTGTCTTACCTTCGGCGCTGATAGCCGTGCCGTTGGTGCCATTCTGCACGTCTCCCAACGTCGGGCTTTGCTCCTTACCGTCCTCGGTCACCTTCTGATTATTGCTCTGCGGCTTCTTGCCAGACTGCCTCGCTTTCGCGGCCTCCTTCTTCTTCTGCTGCTGCTTCTTCTTCGCGTCGGACGGCATTGTCTTTCACCTGGAATTCACCGGTTGCGGTTACGGTATCCGTGACGTGGAGAAGGAAGCCAGCGAGCGGACCGCGGCGTTTTCGCGCGTTACGTAAGGCATAGGTTAGGCACGTGCGTTATTCGCTAAGCGAAAACACTACGGGAAAGGAAGCGAGAACCGATGTATTGCGTCGCATCGCCGATTGAGCCACGAAACGGTTGCGACGTGAAATAAGACGAGATGTGATCAAACGAGATGGAACGAGACCGTTGTAAGGAGCAAACGGATATGAGCGGACTCGAGAACTCACCTATAGGCGAACAAACGAGATTCTATATCGTCGCGATGCTTTTCGAGATCACCCGAGATTACTACCCTTTCGTCACACGCACCGAACTAACTAGTAACTCTTTGATCACACACGAGATTGTTTGCGAATAATTATGAGTATCTAATTGTGCGCCAAAAAGTACGATCCGTACGACACGCGAATCTACACGTGCGTCGGACGAATGGAGGCAAAACCGTCAAACTTCCATTCCATGGTAGAGTTTGACGCGTAAATACCTAGATGGCACCACGTGTACCGAATTCTTGGCAAATATTGCAATTACTTTAATTTTTTTTTTTATATGCAATCAAGGATTTTTAAACTTGTTTATATAAATGTAATATAAAGCTTTTATACCTAGAGAAAGGTTACGTTTAAACTGAAAAAATGGTCTCTTTCGTTGATTTTTTAAGTTAAAGTTAATAAAAATACTTTTGAGGAAAATAAAAATTTACTTGATTTCAACAAATAACGTTTAAAACAAAGAAATTTTTCTTTAACTGTATGCAACACACAAATTATTTTATTCAAATATATTTTTTTATATAAATTAAAAAAAACTTCCAACGAATTGTTATCTATGATTTGTAAAATTTTAAAGATAAAATTAATATACATTGTTAGCTTAATTCAATAATATAGGATTTATTTATTTTTAGCAACTTATATTTGTTTTTTTAAATGAGATATTCACAGTCTGATTTTAAGATCTATATGTATTTTATCTTTCACAATTAAATACAATCTCAAGATGTACGGTTGCTTACTTGAAAAGTTCAAATATTGCGTATAATTTAATGTTTAATTGAACGTTAATTTCTACTTAATTACTTTTAGTAAAACATAATTTTGCACTTAAGTGCAGTTTAACTGGCTCAATGGATAATCAATAAAAAATAAGATGTAAAAACAGATGTGTTTTAATTCTCGCATTTATGCATCATTGTTGCAAGTCGAAAGAATTAAACTAGTGCAAGGAAAAATGTATGACGAGAGAAAAAAAGAAAAAGAAATTAAGATACTGTAAACCTTGTATCTCTATTTAAATATCGAGATAATTGTTAAATTAATAGTGAACACTGCTGTAAATTAAAGTTCTTATGCACGTCGTACATCCTGCTAAACTTGAATTTTCACAAAATAAATACATTAGAAAAAATCGAAAGAAATTAATTACTCTCTTTATATATTTGTCCCTAAACTGTATAGATGCATTTTAAATAATCAATTACACAGTACGTTTCATTTATAATAAAAAATTTAATTACATCCTGAATGCTATCACTCACGAATGGCACAAGTTTTCACTTGCATCGACGAATTATTGCACTTCTACGCATAATAAATAATAATAAACTTCGATCTATGCGGATAATTTATATGCTTGATAAATTATGTGACATATTCGTTACGTAACTTTTATTAAAAAAAGATATCTTGTTCGAATAACGAATTACTGTTACTGCACCCCGTGGTGACGTTATCGTCAACGTGTGCCGTGATGTATCTCGAGTTACATCACGCGCAGGGTGTCGCAAGTCGCAACCCTTTCGGTTTATCGAGCACTTCCTGGATCTCCCCGATTCGGGGCCGCGTTGACCGAAGCCCGGTCGGGCCGGTCAAGGTGTGTGTTCTTTCTGATGAATGAACGAATGGATAAACGGCCGAGGGATGGGGGCAGAGGGTGGTAAAAGAAGACACAGACTTGCGCCCCGGCAGAGCGGGTCCGAACGTCTGTGCCGGCCGGACGACGATGGTGGGGTTGGTATTGCGGGAGTGGAGGTGGTTAATTGCACCGCATCACAGAACGTAGTATCCCCGTAGTACGTGCTAACGGGTGACGGAGGGTGTGGAGGATGTAACGTGGCCGTTGTCGGCCGGCGGCGCATTGGCGCAGCGTTTGTACGTAAACCGTACATTCGGTTCGACGTGTGCGTAAGCGACCGACCAGTGACGTACCTGTTCCATTTGCGCAGTCAGACCGTCGATTCGTATACTAAAAAAAAGAGTGTAATAATAGCTATACTAAATGTTGAATAAAATAATTCCAATCAAATGTTCAACTGATATAACCAAAAATATAATTTTACTGTGTTCAGTAATACTCATGACTGAATATTCATTACTGAATTTAGAAAAGTAAAATTATATGTGTGGTTATATCAATCGAAAATTTGGTTGCAATTATTTCATTCATCATTTGATAGCTACTACCAGACTTTTTTCCATGTAGGATGACCCTTTCACACTCAATAGAAGACGTGACACATTTCGGTATGTTTTAAAAATCAATTTTGAGAGATATTAGGTTTATTTTTTCAGCTAAACTTCTTGTACGGTCGATTTTTCCTCTTTTTCCTTCTACGTTGGGAAAAAAAGAGGAAATGAAAACAATGTTAAAATAACACATGGAGAAAAATGTAAAGTAATATACGTTATAGAATTCTAGTAAATTTTAAGGAATTGATAGATCCAATATAGAAACAAATGTTTACTTATATAAAATTTACTTTGCTTGTCTGGTAAATGAGCAATCGCTGCATAGCCATACTTTTTACATTTCGTAAAATAAATTTTACGCTACTGCACTTTATTATTATTACTATTTCTTAATTTATAAATTATAATACATCTCAACAGAATTTACTTTATCGAAAGGGTAATTTTTCCCTTAGAGCCAAGATTTACTTTACTGCTTGGTAAAACATACAAGTGTAAAGTCTTGAGAGTTGTTCGTGCTTACAGTCTTAAGAATAATATGATTTACTTTACTGTAAGATAAATAACCACTTGAATGGATTTATTATAATTGTAATGTATTTAAGTAATTTTTACTTTTAGTGAAATAAAATTTATCATAAGTTCGACAAAATTAGAATATTTTTATTTTAGACTCGTAAGACTATCCATTTTATCAATGCATCTCTTATTAAAAGAAATTAAATAGAAATTAACTATTTTATTAATTGTGTACGGAAAATTTGAATCTCTTAAGCAAGTACAACTTAAAATTAATTAAGTTCAGATTTACTGAGGCATCGTTATCCAATAGCGTTTTAAAGGGGATTTTTTTAACTTGAATAAAAAAATATTGTGATATTATATTATAAAATCGAAAAAGTTATTTGTAAAGTAACACCCGAATTTTCTAATTGACTGTAAAAAGATTTAACGTAATGCGCAATGTCATTTTCGTGTAGCAATTTGGAAAAATCTCGATTGTTGCGACCATGCGTGTTGTAATTGCGACGTAAGTGAATGTAGTTTGCATGTCAACCGTTGTAACCTTTAATGTTGGGAGTTTTGTAGTGAACGAGTAAAAGAACGGGGTTAAAAAAGAGGTGTATGAATGCCATTCATTCAATTGTTGCAGCGCCGCAATGCCATACGTGAGCTACAGAGTTACTTTCCTTTTGTGATTATCGTTATTCATGGATAATTGGTTACTCAAACAGTTATTTTATGGTAATTGCTTCTCTCTTAAATCTCATCGTTAAAAGCTAAACTCACGGATGCAAGTTGAAAAAAGGCATATATTAATACGCAAATAGATTAGCGTAATTAAAATTATACATTGAGAATGAGAATGTTAATTAAATTTAAAGCAAATTAGAAGAAAAAATATACAAATGATATAACGACAAATGTTAAAACGATTATAAAAAGATATATATAATTGATAAAATAATCTTAAAGATTTACTGAAAAAGTTAAATTCATAAAAAAATTTTTTAAACAAAAATTTAATTATTGTTCGATCGATAATTGGATTCCAATTAATATATATAACATTTAATATTACTTATTGTATGATAAATGATATATCAATCTAATGATAGATATCATAGGTATTCAGGTAATTATAGGGTAACAATCATTTTTTTGTAACAATATGATTATATAATTGTCTTTAACATGTTAATTAGAATATTTATTTTTAAAACACGATAAAATATAAACCGCATAAAATTATAATAAACCGATATTGTTGATTTACGACACAAAACGAAATAGTTGTACTAAAAAATTGAAATAAAACAAAAGTAATATTGAATTTGTAATTCACATATGAATTTCCTATAGGAAAGTAATATTATATATTTGATATCTTTCTGTGTGCGTGGCTATCATACTTAAATTAAGTCAGTATTTTATATTACGATAGATATATCTATATAACGTGTGCAACACACAGGTATAGCAATACCCAGCATCATACTATAATTATCTAATTAGTGATCCATTACTGGATTAAAATTTGCAATCTATAATGTCTCGTGTCGTTTTCGCTGTGTGATGGATGTGTTGCAAGAGTTCGATGGATTTGTAATCTATCGTCGCGAAAATTTAATTCGCGGTTGGCCGCTCGTCGTAAAATTTATGAGCTGACAATCGGACCCGCTGCTTCCTCGGGGAAGAATCGACGTGACGTCTTTCGTGCCGAGTGTTTTTGACACGAGGTGGTCGACCCAATCGATTCCAGGTTGGAATAGTCGAACCGGAAGTAGAACGTTTAGGCTCGTCGACAACGACAAGGCAAAAGGAAAGAGAAAGAGGGGGAAGGATCAAACCACCGAATCTCTCGAGTCGTCAGTCACTTCAGGAGGAAGTCACTCAACTCCTTCAACGAGAAAATGCGAACTAAATGAGATATCTTTTCCATGTTGCATCAAAAGTTCGTCAATGGACACTATATAAATGGTTGATAAATTAATTAATTAATAATTTTTATATGCGTGTAAATTACTTTTTAATCAAAGGAAGACAAATGAAATAATAATATAATTTAAAGGGATACAAATGAAATAATAATACAATTTAGAGGAAGATAAATAAAATACTTGTAATAATATATACAATTTCAATATAAAACAGAGGAGATGCGCCATTAAAAATTAAAACTAAATCCTTATGACAATAAAAAATTATTTTCTTAATAATCTGCAGTGATAAATGATTCAGCAATGTGTAATGAGTCGCGAAAACCTCATCGACTCGTGCATTCAAATAAACAGTTTAATAATCCTGTAAATTAAGCCGGTCATTCGCTCAAAATAATCATTATTGCCCTCTCTATATTTATTGACTATGCAATTATCCACTGTATACACTATACACTATAAAGTATCATTGAAATTGTTGTGAT